GTTTAAAGTTTGTTTTAAACAATAAAAGATTTATATCATTCAAGTGAGTGAATAATTACATAAACTATGTTTTGACTGAAACGTATATATAGTCTTTCGTCGTCCACTCAATTCATCGCATCATTTGTTGAAAAACGAGAGTCGGGTCTCAACTAATTGCAAGAGTGTTAGTGACTGAGAGATACTGTAAAATATTTGATAAATTGCATAAAACAGATATAGTTTGTTGTATTTGTGAGACCAAACTCTCAGAGAAAAGTTTTTAATTAGTTTTATACAAACAGTTTTTAAAGAGAAACTGTTTATTTCTAAAATAAACCTATAATTAAACAAAACTCTTCTCTTTTCATTTATAGCTCTCTCTCTCTCTCTCTCTCTCTCTCTCTCTCTCTCTCTCTCTCTCTTTCACACACACACACATACACTACTCATTTAGGCAGATATGCAGGTGTGGTATAGTTTCAGTTACAGAGCCTTACGGAATATCACATAATATTATTAAATATATAGCAATAGATTAAATGTATTCTACCCCTGGAGCTCAACTAAATATTTTTTTTAGGAAAAAAACCATTTTTGTTTCATCCAAAATTATAAGTTATAGTAATAATGTTATGATTGAATGTTTGATTCCCATTTATTTGAGCCCTTGTAAGTCATATAATTGACAGACCAGTGCTGGTGTAATAAAAATTTATTTTTACTGTATAGCACTAAATATTGTTTAATACTCTGATATATATTTATAATATACTGCATTGACTTCAATATTAGAATACAATGAAGTTTATAACATTGTGTGTTAACTTTAGTGACTGATTAGTTAATTGAATTGAATTGAATTGCATAGTTTGAATGATTACTATTAGATAAATGTAAAAATAACTTTTTATTAACTTACCTATAGTTAATGTTATTCACTTATTTATTATAAAATCGGGACATAAAATAAAAATAAATTTTAATGAATCTAAAGAATTATTGAAACTAATAAAAATATTTGAATCTTAATTCCAATATTTTATTTTACTTATATATACTTATTTTAAAGTTAATAATATATTTAATCTAACATATTTATAATTGTTGTCAAAATTTGTTATTAATCTATTAAAATAAGATATTACTGTATTATTACATTTAAAAATGATTTATATAGTATAAAAATATTTATCGTTAGTTTAAATAAGTATAAATATTATTAAAAATGTATTGTTTTTATAATAATTTTATACTTATATTAATGTAAAAATTTAGTAAAGTAAAAAACAAATAACATTACCTAACATTTTACAACTTAATGAATTCAGATATAAATTATACAGTATATATTCATAGTATTGAAAAATTGCAAAAAATCTTTTAATTTGTTATTACTATTTGAGTAAATTAATATTTTGTAAACTTTAGTTATCATTTATCAAAATTATATAATTTACAAAATAATGTAATTCATGAAATATAGTATTCAATTTCCATTAGCAGAATGTAATTAAATTAGATTTTAGGTTAAGATTGAAAACTTTGCGATGCAATTGTTTTTTAAAAATTTAAAATAAGTTTTAGATATGTATTTTAAAAAGATAGCAAAGAAAATGTGTGATAATAGTTTGTATTTGACATCAAAGATAATGTCTAAAAAATAGATTGAACACAAAAAACTTTGGTTATATTTTCCAGTGAAGTTTTTGTTGGTATGATTATGTAATTATTTTTTAAACATTATTATTTATTTTAGAAAATACTTAATCTTTTATTTGCAGATAATTTAAATTTGATACAATTTTCATTAAATTAAATCATGTGTATTCTAAAATATTATTATAGATTTTAAAAATTAATTTAATGTATTTATTTTTATATTAAGATTTTTCAAATTAAGTCTTGTTTTTAATTAATTTCTCAAAAATTATTTATATTAAATTCATATAATTAATTTATTTTAAAATATGTTATTATTTAAACATACAATCATAATTTTAAGTATAAATAAAAATATTCAATAAATATTTGATTAAAGACTATAATTTTATATTAAGTATATATATTATAAATGAAGCGATAACTCATTCACTTACCGTTCAATAATTGTGTTTTAGATAATTGGATCCAATTATTGTGATTATGTTATAAAATTATTATTATTATTACACTAACATAATGTTTGTGTGTTTACTGTTTCATAATTTTACTAGAATTACAACTTTTATAGATTAATAGTGAAAGTAAAGAAAATCTTAATAATTTAAAAAAATGATGACTAACTTAATATATACAGTTTATATACATTCTTCTACTCTAATACAATATAACACATAATAATAATAATAGTGTATAAACAAAAAAWTTTTAACATTGTATACAAATACTAAAACTAATTAAAAATTTTGTGTTTTGTAGTTAACAATTAATTTAATATATAAAATAAATAATATTTATTATTAAAAACGTAAATATAACAATATAAAAACTAGGATTTTAAATTAAAACTACAAMACATAAGCAAATAATATAATAATTTCAATATAAAAATTATATTAATATATTTGTATTATGTTATTAATATTTTATTTGTGTTTTTATAGATACTGCATTAAAAACTGCATTCTACTATATATCAACTTTGACATTTTATAATATTTAACTTTTATATTTATAATTTTTACCAATATGAACTTATTATTTTATAATATTATAAAAATATAAAACTTTAAAAAAATCACTAAAAATTTTAATAAAATAAAACAATTTTACTCATGCGATACTTTTTGATCAATTTTAGTATCAAATTTTTGTAAAATAAATATTTGTAAAATAAATGATCATGAGTTAAAAATATTTGAAAAAATTGTTGTTTTAGTATTTGAAATAAATAAATCTCTATAATTAAGTGCATCAGTGATGATGTAATTTACTTTATGAAGATAATACCGATTGAAAGGCTTTAATACAATGATATCAAGAGTTGACAACACAATGAAATTTGATATCAATTGATTTGCATATTTTTATGAATATATTGCACTCAAATAATTGGCTCAAAACTTATTATTGTAAAGTAAACTGAGCTGCAAATGGATGCTAAAAATACATCTCTTAAATTGATATGTGATCCCAAAGCACATCAAAACTACAAAAATACAATTAATGTATAACAAAAAAATAATACTTTTTAAGGCTCGAGTCATTCAAATATGAATAGAGTATTTGTATATCATTAGGAAAATTAAAAATATTATTAATAATTATTATTATATTTAATTATTCTAATTTATTTATACCAATATTCTCTAATTTCAATTTAGTTTTACCTTATTTTTTTACTTAATTATTTAAAACTAAAGCAAAATAAAATTTTTTATGAATATTAATTAATTAAGTAAAAATTATTATCAATAGCTTATATTTAGATAAAATCTTTTGACAAATGTACAGCAACTCAATTATTTTGTTAAACCAAATAAAAATTTAAATAAATAGCAATTATAAAATATTTGTTACATTAATTAATTTTAAAAGTTATAATTAAATGACTAATAAAATGTTTACTTATTTGAATATATTTAGTTTAAAGCAGTTTAGCTAAGAATACTATGATTTTTTATTGATTAAATACCCCATTTCTAATGGCATACCGTATGCATTGTCAACGTACTTAAACAGCCAGCCCTCCAGTGATTAACTATTAAAAGTTCATTCAATACAGCAATTATTATATGAAGACTTTTTCAAAATGAAAACAACAAAATAATAAAAATGAAAACTTTTTTCTTTATTCAAAACTTAGTTTTGGGACAACTTTTTTGCAACTTTTTTATAATTTAATGGGAGAGAAGCTATCAATGATTGGCTGTAATATATAATTGTCGGACAAATGTTTAACCTGTAATAACATCAAAGTTAGTCATTAATCAACACAACGTATAATCATTTGGCAAAACAGATTTGAAAAGCACTTATACATACATACATACATATATTGTATATATTATATACAAATATAGCAATAGTTAGTGTTTTAGAGTCCAATGTTATGAATCTGAAGTAACTATGAAACAGTGTGTTAGCACTGGTGTAGAGCACAGGCGCACACACACTATATCATTGCATTGAATACATATATACAGACATACATACCATGGATCAGGTCTGGAGAATCAGTGAAGAGAATCAGCAAAATAGTGAGACATATATTTATATAAAGAGAGAGAGAGAGAGAGAGAGAGAGAAAGAAAGAAACACTCACTCATAGCTATAGTATGTGAGAGAAAGAGAGGGAGAGATATAGAGAGGGGAGAGAAGAGAGTGCGCAGAGAGAGATGTAATGCAAAACGAGATGAATAGGAATCGTAAAAAAGTGAATCATTCAGTAAGTGGTAGAGTGTGTGAAGTGATGCCAATTGTGGTCAAAGTCATCAAAACTCACAGCACTTATCACTTTCACCTCATTGTCCGCAATGTTCTAAATGTTGTCATCACTTTTCGGACTCTTTTCGGGCCTAAAATTGAACACTTAATAGACATCAGTTAATTAAATAAACATTTTTTTAGTGTTTTATTACTTGTATAACAGTTTTGCATTTGAATTGCAAACATAAACTTATTGTCAATTGTTTAGCATTGTATTAGTTGTGTTGATCTCCTATTACTCATATGACATCACATTAAAGGCTTGCCTCTCATGCAAAATATATAATATAGGGTCTAATTTTGATATAAGACAACTCTTCAATTGTTTTAATAATAATTTATATATAATATGCTAATATTATAATTGTACAGCATTTATAAACTGTGTATTAGAAAACTTTTAAAACTTTTTAAAAATCATCAAGTTTTATAAAAATATACATTGACAATAATTTTTATTATAAAATGATGTCATTTAATTAATTGATAAATCAGTTAATTAAGACATATTACAATTTTTTATTAGTTAATATAAACAATAATTTTTTGTGCAATACATTTATTGTATATTATTTATAAAATACATGAAGATGTCATCGCAATCACCTCATCACCGCTCATCACATCATAACTACCACAACAACAGTCCGACCACAACATTGAGTGAAGACGATAGCAATTCAGAACCCAATGATCTCAGAACTTCCCGTAAGTCAACTAACAGTCCTTAATATGTCATTTGTTTTGACTTTGAATTATTATTATCATTGATTTATTTAACTATACGTTCGTAGTTTATATGTTAATAGTTAAATAATTTAATTTTTAATAGTTATTTTAAAATATAGATTATAGATATAAAAATTATATTAAAAAAATTATTAAATGACAATAAATGATAGTTTTTAAAAATATATTGTTATATCTAAACAGAAAAGATTCGTCACCACTCTTCGGCCACATTTCCTGGTTATCCTTTTTTCTCTCCTCAACACAATTCTGGTTCAATACCATCACATAACTCACAGCACGGTTCTGGAGGACAGCCATATGTGGCCACTAATGAGTGTCGTCTCATTGAATACCGAGGGGCGCGTATCGCAGCATTTCTTAGTGCAAATCGATCACAATCTGAATATCTCTTATGTTTACCACAAGCTTTTGAACTCTTTCTCAAGCATTTGGTTGGAGGTCTTCATACAGTTTATACTAAACTTAAAGTAAGTTTTAAAATAATTATTTGTTATATAAAAAATATAATATACATGTCATTATATTAATTAATTGACTATCTATAGTTTATAAATTATTTTTCAACATTTAAATATATAATTGATTTATTTTAATAATATGTTATTTATCATAATTATGACGTATATAAAATATTTAAAATTTAGTTTCAAGTTAAACTTAAAAACAAATTAATATAGATTACTATTATTTTAAAAATTACAATAAAGTATTGTATACACCCTCTTAGGAATTGGCCTAAGGTGTCAAGGTAGATTTTTAAACATATTTAGACAATATTATATTAGTATAAAACATATTAGAACATACAGTATATTCAACATATGATATGGTAGTCTATATATTAGTTTAAACCATAACAATACATTGAAATAATAGTTTTATAATAAGGAGAAATTATAGTTATATTTAATTTGAGACATTATACATATATTAAATAGTAAACAGTATATATATGCATATATATATATATATATATATATATATATATATATATATACTTAAATTAATAATTTATTAAAAAAATATATTTTTTAAATATTTGACTATGCTAGAATATAGTTTTTTTTAATAAATATTAATAATTTCTAAAATATGTGTAAATTATGTATAAATTAAGTCATATATTTTTTTATTATATATGATTTTTATAAAACTAGTTATTAATATATAATTTATAGAAAACATATTTACTTGTAAATTATGTCAAGTTATTAGATAATAAATTAACAATAAGTTAAATTAATAAATGCATTAAGAAAAATATAATTTTATATTCTATAGCTTTATCTAAATTAAATAATATATTTTATAGTTATATAATTTAATTTTTATGAATACTTATGTAAATAATTAACACTATATAGCATATAAAATCTAATTGAATAAAAACTTTGTTAAAAATGTTGACAGCGTTTAGATATAGTGCCGATTGTATGCAATGTAGAACAGGTGAGAATCCTGAGAGGATTGGGTGCAATACAGCCCGGAGTCAACAGATGTAAACTACTGTCAACTCAAGACTTTGACGTACTTTTTAAGGACTGTACGACTGCACGGTATGTCTCAATATTTATCACTTTTTCACATCATTTTTACATCAAAAAATATCACCCAAACAAACAAACAAACAAACTTAACAACTTTATTATAATAAATAATCAAATTTTTGTTTAAATTAGTTTTTTGTTAAATTAAGTTATGTTTTCTGACTTAACAACTAAATTAATACACAAGTGTAACATTAATATTGACAAACAGTTAGATCATGTTTTGAACTAAACATCATTTTAAATGCCAAATCAACTCTTTAAATGATAGACATGTTGTGATTGATTATATTGATTACACAAAATCTAAATTTAAATAGATTGATATCACATATAAATTTGCTGTAAAAATAAAATAAAAATATATTTTTATTTATTTCATTAGACTTTTTAAATTTTGTTTATACAGTATGTGAAGTAAATACAAAAAATTGCATAATAAAGGATTTAAATAAATTGACTTAATAAAATTAAAATATAACCTAGATAAATCTGTTTTAATTTTAAATACAAATAGAGAATTTAGGTAAATATAATGATTGTATATTATAAATATAGTATAATAAACAATAAGATATTATTGTATTTTAAAGTATTTTTGTTGTTTCATGCGATAAAAAATACCAACAAAAGTGAAGCTAAGGCCACACAATGGGGTATTGAAAGTGTGTAATAAAACTACCCTTAAGTTGAGTTGTTGTGTTGATGTTAGCACTCAATAACTTAATATAAATACACTTTATTTCTAAGTTATAGCCAATACTGGGCTATAGTATGGCAAACATGAATCTCGCGCTTGACTCGTATGGCACAGACTGTATTACAGTGGCACCAGTACTACACCAGTGCTACAACCACTACATTCAACCCAATCGCTCCTTTAAATGCTATTTTGTGGCTAAATTCTACCTTATTATTACAGTATTATTAAATAATAAATAGCAAAACACTAGCAAATGTAGATCTCATACATACAGCTTATTTTGACACTTTTTTGGGATTTGCTTTACAATTAATACAATTTGCTATTATATTATATTACATTACATTATGTTACTAGTTTTAAATAATAAATATTTTAAATATTATATGATTAGTATAAAAGTGCATATAAAATATATATTGTATGCATTTATTGAATAGTTTATATTGCATTTGTGCAAAATGTTGTTATATAGTCACAGAATCTGTAAATTCTATATTATGTTATATAGAATAGCAGTACAGTATAGCAAAACAGTTGAGTAAATTTCATAAAATGTTATCATATTATATACCATTATATGATATTATAGATCAAACTTTATAATCTGCTTTCCTATTGTTCACAGCAGTACTCGTAGTTTATTATAAAACGTGAGCCATTTTATATAGAAAACAACATATCATATCATATTGTATATCAATGGCAATCATATAAGTTTTAGAAGCAATGATTTCATACAATCTCTTTTATATTGTATATATATTTTGCTTATAACTTATATCTTATGTATGATTGGACTGACTCTTGAAAAAAATGTGAACCTTTGTTGTATCACTTTTGATATGTAAGTACCGGTTTTGGATGCAATTTATAATTATTGTTGTGTTTGATATCGTTGTTTCCAAAAGCCAACACTTACACAACAAATTGTGAGCCTTTATTGCCCCTATCACCCCCTTAACCCTCACTTACTCTTACTCTCTCTCTCTCTCTCTCTCTCTCTCTCTCTCTCTCTCTCTAAATCATTTACTTATTTATAGTATTTTTTTTATAAAACCAATGTTTTTATTTTAAATGTTTATATTTTATCAAAAATTCACATCTACTTTATAATTTTTTAAAAATTTACATTACATTAAGTTTCTTTAAATTTAAGAAACAAATAAATTGCAGAAATTATTGAGTGAAAAACAACTCATGACGAGTTCATAACTTGAAAATAAATTTGTTTGTAATAACAGTAAAACAAATGATATTCCAAATGCTTTTTTCTCTCTATGTTTCAAATATATGAAATATTTTTCAATCAAAGTTTAGAACTTTAAATGTTAACTAAAAAAGTTAGTTATGTGTTGTGTGAGATGTACTTAAAGTCCAATATATATCAAAAGAAAACATAAATTGACCGCAAAAAACAAGTCTAAGTGTCATTTAAAAGCAATACAAATAAAATTTGAGTCAATTTAAATGGTTTTGATTTATATCTATTAATTAAAATGAAAATGAAATGAAACTAAACGGAGCAATAAAAATATGTTTCAATAATTGGAAATAGTATTCAAGGCCTAAATGCTCATAGATTTATAAGCATTGTATAGCCCGTACCGGCATTTTTTGAGTTATGATCCCCGACTCGCTAACGGCTATATCACTCCCCCTTTAGTTTTAAGGTGGAGTACAGGGGAGACACAAAAAGGTATACAATATATACATTGCAATGAGAGATAGAGTCGAAATGGCAATACTATGGCTATAGTATAGCTATGATATATCTATGGTATAGCTATGGTATGGCATAGTTTGCCTGTGCTTTCATTTGTTTCTCTTTTCAATATATATATGTTTTTTGAAAAGAATTTCCAATTAAATGAAGAAATGAAGAAAAGACTCGAAACGAGTTTCATTTCATTTCATTTGTTTTTAGTATTTTTATTTCAAACTTCGTGTTGTGAACTGACAATTGCAACCACTCCCCCATCCCAGTCATCACTAGACATTAACAGGTCCTAACATACAGTATATACATATATATATATACATATATATACATACATATATACATACATATATACATAYATATATACATACATATATACATACATATATACATACATATATACATACATATATACATACATATATACATACATACATACAAACATACATCAATGATCCCCACAACTCACATACATCTCACTGTTGTTCCCCTTTCGACCTCTCTGTCCATAAGTGAAGTATATATGAAATGTACAGAAAATAAGAGAAATATAAGTGAAATGAGAAATGAAAATATTTCTATTTTTTGTTTTAATTGGCAGCTGTACTATTGATGCACCAGTACTATGGTCCCGGTGCTATGGTCCCGGTGCTATCCCAGTCAACAATATTCCAGTAAATTGCATTTCGTTTGCTTTATTATCGAAACAAACAATAATATCTACACTACACTCATATAATGTAATTTTTTTTAAAAGTTTGCAAATATAAATATGTTTGTTAGTATAAGCAATACAACTATGGTCTACACTACTGCTTAACAATATCTAAGTCTACCTCCCATTCCTTCTCTCATTCATTGACTAACTCTCGTTGGGTTTCATATATTTGGTGCTCTATTAGGATATGATATAAAATGTTATACATTTGTATGACGCGTGTATTGTTATAATTCAATGTATTGTGTGTTATGTGACCACACTATGAATTTATGGTCTTATCTGTTAATCTGGTAATCGTATTCATCTCATTCACATCATATCAAATGCTACTAAATTGTCATTTTAGGCAAATTAAGCTAAAATTAACCCAATCTTTGTAAAATATATTATTATCAGTTGTAAAACATTTTGCAATAAAAACATTTAGTTATGAATGCTTTGAGGCTCAAACATAGCTAATAATACACAATAACTATAAAGCGGAAAATCCGATAGATTTATGAGCAAAATGTTAGACAATGAGAAACAAAGATGAGATGCAGTTATATAAGTGTTGCAGTGATCTCATTGAAAAAGAGGGAAATATATAAATGCAACAAATGTGTGACATTTAGTTGACTGCATCTCTCAGTGCATATCTATCAGTGCTATGTTGTAAATACTACTGTATGTATGTATGTATGTATGTATGTATGTATGTATGTATGTAGTGTGTGTGTGTGTGTGTGTGTGTGTGTGTGTGTGTGTGTGTGTGTATGTGTGTGTATGTGTGTGTATGTATGTATCTGTGTGTGTGTGATGTGTGGCCGCAATGCAATCGATTGAGTGCTGCATTGACTACACTCTCACTGTTTAGTAACTCAAGTCTGCAATTGTGTGCAATGACTGCAATCAYTTACAAACAGCTTTACAGTGCAGTCGACTCTCAACTATATATATATTTTGCTCTTTTTCTCATTGCTTTTACGTCTTTCTAAATATATGTATCTCTTTCTCTGTATGTACTGTATGTACGTATGTGTGCATTGAATTGAACTATAGGTTCATTTGTAGAGACGACTGCAATCGTGTTTGCGCTATATAGCACTGTTGTATACATTGACAGCACTGGTAGCATCACTACATCACATTCCTCATCCATTCCTGTATTACAATTACATTCATTTCTAATGCCATATGTTTTGATAATCTATTGGTTTTCAAAATTACTATATATTAAACAATTTATTAATTTGTAAGTAAGTATTATTAATCAATGATATGATAACATTAAAGTTTGATTATATAAATAAAGAAAAAATATAATATAAACATTTGTTGATTTCTGATTGTTTACTAAAAAATCAATGGTATTTTATAGAGTACTATAAAGTGAATAGCGATTTGCTAGATATAAGTGTATATAATATGAATTGTCAATTGTATTAATAATAATAATACATTAGACACATGGAGTCAACCATAGTGTATGATAGTTTGTGTGACAGCTGTTTCAATAGTGATAATGCAATTCCTACTTATGTTTGACTTTAAGCTTTTCTCTTGTTTTTATTGCACTTCTCTCTCAGGCCTTACACTCTCACTATTTGAGTTGTTATATGGCATTACATAAAATACTATTAAATATATAAATGGTATTATTTTTTTTTGTTTTATTCAATTTCATTACTCTCAACGACAGTCATTTCGGACTATCAGTGAAACCAATTTGTATTACTTGACTCATTCAATCAAATCAATTCATCACTTGATAATAGGGTTTGCACCTCATTTAAAGCACAAACTTTTACACAAACATATAATAAAAGTAGTTTAAAACAATTGGGAGGAATCATATCCCAAACATAACTAATTTCTCATAAAATGTTTCTTTAAATCTTAAGCGTTAAGCTTTTTTGTTAGTATTTAAATTTTATTGTGTGTGTGTGTGTGTGTGTTAAACAAAGTTAAAATAGTGTCTAAATCTCTGACATTTTATCACTAATATAACTGACAAATTATTTTTATTTTCTTCTTTTTATACAATTAGTTGTGTCAATCATTTCATTTAATTATAGAATATATTATTTTAAAATAATTAAAACAGTAGTCATTGCAAAAAATTGAATATAATTTGCGAATATATATTATAAAGGTTTATAAAACTATTTTACACTTCAATAAGTTATGCATTAATTTATATGAATATAATATAATATCATTTTTATTATAAACAAAGAATTGGGTCATAAGTAAGTAAAGAATAGGAAATACATTGAAAATAGCAATCAATAGAGAGTGGGGGGTCTTATAGTACATAAACGAGTTGCTATATTATGTAATTCACTTGAATTACATTTCATCGATACCACAGATCCCGTCTCCCGTCTCGACGTCTTCTTTGCAAATACCTGTTGCCTTAATTTTGGACAACAAAGTTTAGCACCCGCTGAGACAACCCGGCTATTAATGGTTCGCTTACATATTGCTCACTAATATATGGGCCCAAATGGGGCTACAGTCAGTCAGTCAGAGAGTGAGTGAGTGAGTGAGTTAGTGTGTGTGTGTGTGTGTGTGTGTGTGTGTGAGAGAGAGAGAGAGAGAGAGAGAGAGAGAGAGAGCATTATTTGATATATTCAGTTGGGAACTAATGCATGATTTCTCTTTTTTGACTCTCTTCTCTCACTTATTTTATTGGAAAATAAAAAAATGCTAAAAAAGTGGAAAAAGAAGTGTCTCTCTCATTGATGTAATGGTATATTGAAGTCGGAGTTAGCGATAAGGGATCGCAATTGTGGTTTACATGAACACCACATCTGTCGCATGAAATACAATAATAAAATTGTAAAAATTTCTATTATTTCTACAAAACGGACAAAAGTGTAGAAAATGTATACATTTTAAACGTCTACTTTTGCCTTAAGGGAAGAATTGCTTTCAATAGTTTGCTAAACATATAAATATAAAAAATATATAAAAGAAAATATAAAAAATGAAAGAAATAATATATTTTAAAGTTTTTCGATATATTTATACACACAAATAATATATACATTGTATATAAAATATATACAATATAGAGTTATTTTATAGTATTTCAGATTTATTATAGTCTCACAAAAGTTTAATTTCCGTTTGTTGTCTAAGAGAAGCAACGAATGGTCTCGAGATAACAAATTGCTTATAATATCACTAAATATTAGTATTTCTCAAATAAATGCTTTCAATTTGTTGTCTTCCCCTCTACTGATGCCTCACTCATTCGTTGCTATTTTTTAAACTAACTTTTATAAGATATTTATATTGTATATGCAGATAGAATTAAGTATAGGATTCCTGTATATCTAGCTATGGCTCCCCCCTTATTGCCAGGACGTGACCGGCAATAAGGCAAATGATATGTGATTATGTGATTGGATCGACTTATAAGCATATTTAAATCATTGCCTATCATACATATATTTTTAAACATTCATCATCAATGATAATCTCAAAATATTTTTCACTTAAAACTTAAGCTCTAAAATAACAAATCTATAGTTTTATAGATATGTCTCACACATTATTAGAAAGAATGAGTGAAAGAGAGAGAGAGAGAGAGAGAGAGAGAGAGAGAGAGAGAGAGAGAGAGAGAGAGAGTTTTGATGAAATTGAAGTTTTAAATGAATGAATGGATGCAACACTTGTCGAGCAAAGCAAAGTTAGCAAAAATAAGTTAAAGTGAGTTAAACTGACTTTTGTTGGCAATAATCTTTGTTTGCAAGTCATCACATTTGCATATTATTATATTATATATTATTATATTAACTTTTATGCCATTTATTGCCAAAATTTTTTTATTTTGGTACTCATTTAAATTATATTTGAGACAACACTATATCTGGTCATAAAATGAATAAATCACTTCAAACTATAATAATAGCTATAATAAGATTCCCTTTTAGTGAACAATAATAATAATTTGAAATGACTTTTGATATATTGTTTTATAGAAAATAAAATGTATAATTTCTATAAAACACACTATAATTTCATTCAATGCAGAAAACATATTAAATTAATGTGATTTTATTGAACAACAAAAAATTAATATAAAATAAAATGTATATTTTTATATCCCAAACATGTATAAATAATTTACAAATGAAAAATGTTTTTTCTTTGCTCGTATAATATTAAATGAATGTATTTTTAAGATAGTTTTTCATTAAATTTATATCATATGAAACAATTTAATAAATTATATGATTTAAAGTTTTGGATGTTTTAACATTATATGACTTATTGTTGCAAAACAATAAACGCCTTAATTCTAAGTTTATCCGGAATTGCAGGGAATGGGAGAAAATGAGAGATTAAGGATGATATGGTTTTACTATAAAATTATGTTATATTTGTTATGTATATAACAAAAATGATAGGTTTATAAGATTTATTACTATTTATATGAATCTTATTTTATATAATACATCAAATATGATACATAGCTTTTTACTGCAAATATTACACACGTTTTTATATTATATATCTTTTAATATTGATATATGAAACATTCAATTTAATACAAAATCATTTTTTAAATATATTTTTAATTTTGTTATTGTTTTAATAACATTGTAATTAAATTAATATGATTTAAATCAAATGTGATAATTAATGGAAAATATTGATTAAAAACAGTATAAAATGATATTAAATGAAACTTTTGTTATATTAAAGTCAATATACAGTACATTAAAGAATAAAAAGTATAAATGATATATAAATGAATATAATATAAATATGACTCTCAGTTAATGGTAATACCAGTAATCGGTGTTTATGTTTGTTGTGCACAACGACTCAGTCCAGGACTCGTCGATCCAATGGATATATGTTTGGCTGTGCGTCACATCTAATACCACTCCCTTCTCATAACAACAATCATTGTTTGCCAACCATACACACACACACACACACACACACACACACACACACACACACACCAGTTATTATTATATGAGAGTTATTGTTGAGAATTAGACTCTTTGTTGTTTCAATTAATTGACTTCAAACCCAATGTTATAATTTCTAGTTTTTCTATTAAAAATGCTATTATTATTATTACTTCAAAAAGCAAATGAAATATTAGATAATTTGTCAGAAAACAACTATTTTATCGTTGAATTTAATCAAAAACTTATTATTCTTTCTCATCTATTTTCTAAAATCCATTATATTTAGACATAGATATAAAACACTAGTAATTTTTATTATATTGTATTTATCATTAATTCATAATTATAAATATTATATTTTCAATGAAATATTATAAATGTTATTTTGTTTATATCATCAGTTTGTGCAATATTAATATTTTTCTTTAACAATTTTAATTGACATTAAATAATTACATTAATAATTTATACTATATACATCATATTATAATAACAAATTAATTATGTTTTATAAATAAATTTATACTGTTTAGCTTGAATTAAACTATTTTTTCAGTAAATATTATTAAAACAACAAACTATTTTAAATAATTCTTTATTACTTATTACTAATTACCAATTTATTAGCTATATATACACAATAGTATATATTGTATATATATATTACATTATATTAAATTGAATTTATTGTGTTTATAGTGGATAGCTTTTTCAACTTAAGCATTAATTGGACATTAATTAATAAAATCTGTAAAATCTTTTTGAGTGGCATTGAAATATTATTTGTATATTATATGTAAACTATTAAAACTAATTATAAAAAATCGATTCAAATAAGACTGGATTAAATTAAAACTCAAAATACTTTATTTTAAGAAAAACGTCAGAATAATTAAATAATATATTTAACGATTTCATGGATTCATTAATTTATTGTTTAAAACATTTAAAAGTTAAACAATTTTGAAGTTAAGACATAATGATTGAGTAATGCTTGAAAAAATGGTATTTATAAAAAAGTGACAAATATTTGGTTGAACTTCAGCCCAAATGTGACACTCATTTTACGGTCAATTGAGTGAAAAAGAGATTAGTTTTTGTTGGCCTCTCATTGACAGAGTTGTGAACTATAAGTAGTGTTGTGTTGATATGAATGGTAGTCCTGTGTGCTCATGGAGTCGGCTAATAGTGACTAACAACTGGCAACACAGCTATCCTGCTGTGCGGCCGTCAGCCAAACTGAATGGGGTCTTAAGGGTCTTAAGAAGCAATTTCACTACAACTTCTTTAAACATATATTTTGATTGATATTTGCTTACAGTTCAGAAGCAATCATTTAAACACAATCATTATATGGCAATCATTATATGGCAATCATTATGAAAATTAAGTTTTATCTAAATTATATGTTAACTTAAGTCAATTTCTCACCAATTATTCAATTGTTGAATTTATTCTTTAATACGTCAAGCTTTACATTAATATACTTATGACTTGCAATTTGAATTTTAATACATGTAGACATACCTATCCCTACAATTAGTTGACAAAATGATAACACTATTACGTTATCTTATTGGCTATGATTTCATTTAAAAGGCCGGGACGTCCACCCAAACGAACAGGCATTGTAAGCCCAGTGCCCGCATCTTTACACTCAAACACACAACATAATGCTATGCCATTCCTGGGCTATCCAACTGCTAAAAAGCCTCGTTTCTCTGATGATACCGATTATGGCAGTGAAAGTAAGTGAAACACATCATTAGGCCTTCAATTTGAAATCACTTTATACATTACATGTATTGAATGCACGCTTATATCAAGTATAAGTTATATGATATACTTATCACTCTATAGCACTGATACACACTAAGACTGATATAATGTTTTCTTATAAAGATTTAGACTTAAAGCAACACAATTCAGTCAGTGCTAACACAAATGGTAACTCAACCGCTGCCACGGCTGCTGCTATGTTGGCCGCAAACGGCTATTCGGCTGCCTTCCCGTTATTACAACATTTTACAACCGGCTCAACGCCAACACCACAACAACAACAACAACTTGTGGCCGCAGCTGCAGCTCTGGGACTGCCTGGACTTCCACATAGGTCTGACATCTTTTTCTATTATTATTTATACAATATTTATATTATTTTTCTAAACCACTTTATTCTCAATCCAATTGTATTTAAGATCTCATAATTAACACAGAAAAACATAACTTATACTTTTTAATGGTTTTTAATATGCAATGGTTTTAATGGTATCAGCAATTGTTAAATGTGATGCTAATAAAGTCAATTTGATTTCTGTGAAAATATTGAATCATAAATACTTACTCTAAATATATGACCAAAACTTATTTTAAAATAAATATATAAATAGATATTTTATAGTATTAATACAAACTCATATTTTTCTATTTAAATATCTTTTAGTAAAAAAAGATAAATTAATTAATTTTTTTTAATAAAAATAAAAATAGTTGCATTCAATTTATAATTTTGTTAATAATTAAGATTTATCTACAAATTACATAATCTATTATAAAAAATGTATATTTATTTCATATAGAATAATATTGATATATTATATTTTATTTTATTAATATTTAAATATAAAATTTCTATTTGTTTAGGAATTGCTTTCAACTATTTAAGAATATATATTCAATAAATTTATATAAATTTTAAAATGAGTGAAAACTAAAAAAATTATAAATAAATTATATGATATTTTGTGAATAAGACTTGAAAGTTCTTTTAAGTGAAATTTAGTGTAAGTGCTGTTGAAAAGCATATTTATATATAATAGTATTTATATTATACTATATTATACAGTATTTATACGAAGTCATTAATAGAAATAATGAAATATATGTTATTTTTAAGTTAACTATTTTATATATAAAATAATATATATTTCTATTGGTATATATTTAAGTTAATATTTATGACATTCATTGGTACTCATTGCTGACACTTAAAAAAATAAATATATATTTGAATGATTTTATGGAAACATAAGAGTATTTGAATATTGAAAATGCCATATATATTACCCACAAATATGATATGAAATGAAAATATTTTGCATATTTAAGAGATGTTAGTGAGTGAGATGTTTGGGATGTGTGTGTGTGTGTGTGTGTGTGTGTGTGTGTGTGTGTGTGTGTGTGAGTGAGTGAGTGAGTGAGTGAGTGAGTGAGTGAGWGAGAGAGAGAGAGAGAGAGACGCAGTGCCCACTATATAACTATTATGAGAGAGTACAAGGGATAGGATGGCTATGAGAGAAGAGTTGGAGTGAGGGATGAATGCGAGAAATGGCGTGCCTTTGACTGTATATACTGTATAAAGTATATGTGCTTTTCATATAACACAATGTGCTCATTGGTCTCATTGCTCTCATTGAGTCTTAATATGCAAAGTCATTAATCATTTTGTCTGTCGCGAAGTTGAGTATAGTTTGAGTAAAAACTTTTTTGTTATCTCATTCAAACACTCGTTAATATAATTAAAAAGCAATGAAGAAATTTTTTGCTCACAAACTGTGTTTCTCTCAAACAAAATGTGCAAATCTTATCAATGACTCGATTCAATTGTATTACAAATACAGTAAACACTGTACCACTACTACTGTGACAACTGAGTTGTCGATGTAGTGCCGCGTCTTTGTCACGACCAGTAATTGATGAGCACTTATATTACATTATATGTTTGCTATGTTTGCTATGCTTACATACATAACACACTACAAACATTGCAAACTGAAACTATATAACAGTCAAACAAAACACTATTTCTTTTATTTGGACCAATTTGTGACCATCTCATCGCTCATTCAGTAAACAACATTAGATTTTTTGGATAAAGATTCTAAAGATATAATATTATCAACCATTTACTACATTTAACATATCACTAACCGGTCACCACTTAGACGGGATAAACTAAACAAAATTAATTATTTTAACAATTTTTGTTAAATATCAAAACTTAAATCTATTTTTGTTTTAATTTTTAATTATAACTAATAAAATATTGAGTTTTTATCACAAAATTCAAAATATTATATAAAGTTAGTGAAAGCAACAGATATTTTTTGGGATCCCTTAAACAATAAGTTTCTTTTTCTATATATTATTCCATATTAGGTCTTAAAAAGCAATTTTTAAAACATATAAAATATTAAAAATGCAATTCATATTAAAAGCATTGGTGTAATCAAAGCGATCGATTGAATTAAATTTTAAAACTCAAACCCAAGTGAACTCAACTTTTTAGGTAAATTCAAAGCTTAACGCAATAGGAAAAGTACAGTAAATTCGAGTCAAAGTAGATCCGACTCATGAAAAGAGTATGCTTTATATATATATATATATATATATATATATATATTGATATATATATAGCACAAAATGCAAAGATTATGCTATGATCTCAAAAACTCAAATTCAAAATTTATTTCTCTCTTTCCCTCCCTGTCACTAGAGAATGATTAATTACTAGCTCTCTCTCTCTCATATGATATGGCAATGCTATGTACTCTCAGCATTGGGTGTCGCAAGTTCTCTGTGAGCTCTCTCTCTCTCTCCCATAGCTCTCCCATACTTTGTGATTGTGTTATTCTGTGAGGTGATGGTTGTATGTGTGTATGTGTGTGTGTATAGAGTAATGGTTATATAAGTTGTATGCGTTAAAGCCGTCATCAATCATACTGTCTCACAATGTCTGACTAAATTAACTCCGATCAACAAAACTTTTTTCTCAAACCAATATTGTAATGTAGAGACAGTTCACTATTCAGACCAATAGATCCAACTCTGCTCTCAACAACTTTTCGAAGTCATTCTTAACTTTTTATTCAATTGTTTGTCGAACTTATTCTCCATTCACTTCACTATTTCATATGAAAAACACTTCTTATTTGTCACACATTTAGATATATATTTCAATATATATAGTAAATGGCATTTCTATCAAACGTTTCCTATGTTTCACAAATCGTATTGATTTATAACTAGTTTATGAATAAGACTATAATAAACATTTTCTTTAAGAGCTTTTCTTTTATATATATGACAAATAAATTAATATTAATAATAATAAAATAATCATTTAATAGGCAAAAAAATAACATTAAAATTGAAACTTATATCTAAAATATGTTTATTTATAATAAGATCATAATAAATTAGTTTTTATAATAAGCATATATATTAAGTTAATTAAGATTTCCAGATATCTTAATGTTTTTTAGATAAAACCTTTAAAAATAGTTGCAATTCTTGTAATGGCTATGAAGTAAGTGATATCAATCTGCAAATTGTCAAAAATATTTGTACTTATTTTTAGTTAAGAAAGACAGTTACATATTATAAGTATTTGTTAATTGCAAACAAGTCGTGAATTTGTTTAAAATAAAGTCATTTTTTTACTTATAAATTGTCGGCATTTTTCCTTAAAAAAACATTAATTATTTAATTAAATATTAAATATCTAAACTTTTTAAATACAGATTTTCCAATTCAAGTTCCCCTCCGGCTATAGCATCACATCACGGAAACAATGGTAACTCTACGTCGGACGGCACCAGTGGTGGTGTCGGTTCTGACTTTAATCCGACGGCCGCTTATTTATGGCTTCTGTCACAACAACAGCAACAGTTGCCAAACTCGGCCGCACTTAACCTAAGCTCTCGTAACACTAGTGCCAACAGTACCGGCAATAATAACATTAACAACAATCTAATTAATAACAACAATACCTCAATTAATAATAATAATAATAATAATAATAATAATAATAATAATAATAACAACAATGCTAACAATAGCAGCACTAATAATAATGCAAATAATATATCAGCAAATATATCCAACAATAATAATAATAATATTGCAAACAATGACGACTCTACCGATGATGACGACGATGAAGACGATGTCGAGAGCAATAACAGCAGTAACCACAGCAACAATCCTGTCAGCAGTTCTGGTTTTAATGGTAGGACCCATACAATAGACCCATACATATGACAACATCATTATTATCTAATTTTTCTTACATCAGGTATAAGTTGTGGCAGAGGAACAGCCAGTGAAACGGCAAGCAATAGGAATAGCTCGACAACACCTCCACATACACAACAACAACAACAACAACAGCAACAAAGCCAACAACCGGAACATTGTTTGGAAACTTTGTTAAGAAATATTGAGGGACTTCTTGCCATTGCTGCACATAATGCTAGACAACAACAAACACAATTGCATTTACAAAAAGGTATCAATTATTGCATACAATCACTTAACTAATCTCAAACTTACTAGACATCCATGACATCAATAAAAACTTTTAATATATTTTTAAATAATATCTCAGAAAATATTATAATTAAATAATAAGTAACCGATAATTATTTAAATAAAAGTGTGGTTAACTTAAATGTAAGAATTTCATATTAAACATAATATACAATATTTTCCATTAATAAATTACTAATATTGTTTTAAAAAATATAAATAGTGTATATTATAGAAATAAAGTATAATTTATAAAAATACTAAAACATTGAATTTACACCGTAGCTAACAATTAGATAATTAATCAGAAAAGTTTTATTTGCTAATTATATTCAACTTCATGTAATCAAATAAAGTTTTTAGTGGGGAAATGTAGTAGTTTTTTATTAATCAACTTTTTTTTGGTCAATAAAATGATTGCTACATAACAATTAACCTATGGGTTGATTCAAAGCACATACACATACATACATATACACTGTTAAATGAATTAATGAAATGAAATAAAAATGAGTTACTAATAGTGAGTTAGTAGTAAAGCGATGTAAAGTATATGCAAAAAAGTAATGTACTCTTTAATGTTTGCTCTGTTTTTTCACTATATTATTCACAATTCTTGATCATATATTTAAATAAAGTATACACAAAACTGGAGTTAATTTTGGTTTTAATTTTTTAAGTATATATACCAATATATACAAGTTATTTAGTATTGAAGCCACTCTTATCTCTATTTATTTGCATCAATGCTTCAGTCTATGCCATAACAGATGCAATGCTAACTTCTTTGCTTTTGTAAAGTAATGCAATGAATGTGTGTTTTACCCCTTATTATGGCTAACATCCCCTACTTTGCATTGCTTTATAAACTCATTAAAACATTAAGCAATGGACTAATGCCAGTGCAGTCTCTGTTGAAATGCGATAAAAACGCTTTTTATTTTTATAAAAAGAGTCTAAAAATTACAGCTTTTGTAATTACAACCGTAAAATGTACTCCAACTTCACTCCATCCCTCCCTCAGCTATACAACCGCCTCTCATCGTCCCTCTCTCTCATTGGTCTCACTCTCACTAACTAAAGGATTAAATTACTTTTTTCACGCATTTATGACTTTAATTCTCGGTATTTTAAAAATTAAGTTCAACTTAAAAATTAACGCAATAATAATCAGTTCTTTTCATACATTTTTCTATATATTTTTAAACAATTTTTCTAAAGAAATATTAAAAAAGTTTTTGTGATATATTTAACTTTAAAATCATTTTATTTAAAGTCATTATAAAAAACCCCTTTACTCTCTTTCTGTTTTTTATTTAAACAAATATAATGAGTTGAATGATCAGCAATAATATCTGTATGATATAATTTATATTGCTTTTAAATGTTTGCTAGTCTTCATAATATTCATACAGTATATTACTATAAGTAGTCATTTGTATAATAATATAAATATATAATTTTGATTTAATGTAAATCACATTTGCATTAAAATCTATCGAAAAATATGTGCTATTTTATACACAATTAGTTGTTAAATATTTGAAATGAATTTTTTAACAAAACATAATAATTTAAGAAACCCCCAAAAGACATACAAATTTATTTTAAGTATATTTTTGGTAAAATATTTTTCGTTTATTACCCGTTACATTAAAGTAGTCACTTTTTAATGTATTTTAAATTTAATTAATTTTTTATTCAATGCTTACTGTCAGATATGTGTATATATAAACACAATTTAAATGGAAACGTTGGGAAACTGTTGTATATATTTATATATTAAACGACTATTGTATTAACGCAACAGTATATAGTTATATACTTTCAACTCTTTTTTGTCTCCTTTTTTGACGCATAGCTGAGCTGAGGGCTGAACTGGCGGTTCAACTGGAAAGGGAACGGGAGATGAGAGAACATTTGGAAAAACAATTAAATGAAGAACAAAAAATCAGAAGTAAGAGTTGATAAATCATTTAATCAATAGTCGCTACAAATTTTATATTTAATATTATTAATATCATTAATATTATTTGCTTTATATAATGTTAACTCAAATTCTCATTAATTTAAATGTCTGTTATCTCTAATGTCTTAGTGTTATATCAGAAGCGCTTCAAAAAAGAGCGTCGATTTCGTCGAAAACTGGAACAGGAGTTGCAATCAAAACATTTAAACCATCAAAACCAGCAACAGATGAATCAAAACAAACAAAACACACAACAAGTTTCACTTAAGTCTTCACCCACTCCTCCGCCACAAACACCAAAACAACTGACAGAAGTCATCGATTAGTAGTTAATATTATCGAAAATATTTCATTGCTTTACAAACTCTTTGAAAACTTTTCACTAATTTATATAACAATAGTCTTTGCATAAAATTATAATGCATTTAAATTATTATTATTATTATTATCATTATTAAAAAATAATTTTATCATTTATTTGAGCTATTTATTATTAGTATGTATTATTGAAAGGCCAAATATATTATAAAACATACAAATAAGTAACACTTACATTGATATAAATTAATATACAAAACAATAGATAACATTAGTGTATAATTAATAATTATACTGTAATTATTATTAATATTATTATTAATTTTCATAAAACATTATTATATGAATATTGAATTTTAGAATTGATATAAATATATAATTACTGATAAGTTATTTATCAAAACGACATATCATATCACATCACTGTTTACTTCTGTGTTATAGTAATTACATTTGAATTTCTTGTTTTTTCTCAACATTTCTGTAATATAATATAATTGTTTGTTAGTCCTATTATTAATAATGAATGAATAATACAAATATTATATCAATATTATTAAGGAATTCTATATTAAATATAAACTAATTAAAAATAATACAAAGTTCAATGTTTTTATAAAACAAATGCCATTCAATGTTTATTTTTAATTTAAATTAAGTCTTAAGCCAAATGAGTCATTCAATTGGAAAAAGTGATAAATTTTGATAATAATGTGTTTTCAATACAAGTATTTTGAAAGTTTTCTGATTGTCAAACAAATGGATTTTGGATTTTTGCCGATTCAAAGGATTGTTATTCACAAAATGTTTTGTATTCATTTCATTATATAATATATATATATTGTATTGTTATTATCAACAGTAGAGATGAGAGACAAGTATTTTGATAATATAAAAGCGTTTTTACATAAAATATTGATAGAGAAAGAGGTGGGGGAGAGCAGAGGCATAGTTAACCACAAGACTAGGCTATTGAAAGGGAGGGAAAGGCAACAAATAGCTGGGAATTAACAGCAAAAGCAAAAGCAAAAGATTGAAAAAGCAGAGCTTATTTTAAACATTGTGTCGACACATACGATATACTTGTGCTCAAACTATAGCCAATGTATAGTGTGTTTAATTAATTAAACGACTGCTATTGTCATGAAATTAATTAAATTTGTGCCAAAAATGTTTTTTCTCTCTCTTTCTCTGTTCTCACTCTTTATTCTCTCGATTCTTGCGTTCAATTATTTTGTTTGTCGACCCCTCCCTTATTGCCCCCATTAGTGCAAATAAACATATTTTTGACAGCTTTGTTATAACTTGTCTTTTGTTTTTACTAAACAATAACTGCAATAACTGCTAAACTTATGTCATTGTTTAAAGTTATTCATTTGTCTTTAGAACTGAAACTGAAATGTTTTATAAATATAAACCGTATATCGATATACTTATTGTATATAATATCATATGCTTTTCACTTTATTTGTTGAGAGAGAGAGAGAGATTGCTTTGGAAAAAGTGTGTTCACTATTGAAATGATGATCACAACTGCAAACTTTTGGCCTAAACTAAACCTTTCAATGCATGATCTCATTTACATTTATTTCAAACGTCAGATTAATTTTATATCGTTAACATTGCCTCTAATTATTAACTAGAAATACTGCAAATGAAGGCTATCTAATGTTTAGCAAAATAAAAAGTTTCAAAACATTTGATTAAAGAGAAACACAAATAAGTTATGAAATTATATAAATCCATTATATATACCGACTTCTTATGGCTATTCAATTTATAATACAATTCAATATAATGTAAGACATATGCAATATAATGAACATAACGTTTGCACACATGTGTGTAATTGTGTAGACATATAAAGAACATAAAATAGACATATAGTCAGTAGATATACCAACGATATCTTGATTTTGATAGCATTGCTAACACCTGGCTATATGGAGGCCATACTTATAATGTTCGCACTCGTAATTTATCTGACTGTCTCTCAAACATACCAGTGATTGATTACATTTATTGTGTGTCTTTGTGGCTTTACCATTATTTCTACTATACATATAATTCTATATATGTATATATATTTATAAATATATACTATATATATATAGCATTATATATATAGTATTTATTCCAATATAATATAACTTTATTTATCTCAAAAAATGCCACAATAAGAGCTTTGCATAGAATATTACTTTAATGTGTGAGTGAGTGAGGCATTTGAGAGAGAGAGAGAGAGAGAGAGAGAGAGAGAGAGAGAGAGAGAGAGAGAGAAATAGAGTAGATATCACATAGCATTTATTTATTCAAGTTGACATTGATGGATTATGCAAAAAAGTAATTTATTGCCAGATTTTAAGAGAATCGCCAAACACACCACTCAATAGTATATGCTTTGAAAATTATGTTGAATTTAGTTCACCAACTAATGCATTGCTCTCTCTCTCTCTCTCTCTCTCTCTCTCTCTCTCTCTCTCTCTCTCTCTCTCTCTCTCTCTCTCTTACATTCATTTTTCTATACCTTTTTCCTCACTTTTTATTTATTGTGATAAAACTTCCGTTTTCCTGTATTATATTCACTGTTCAACCCATTATATATTAAATGCAATGCAAATATAAACTTTTTTTTTATAGTTTTTAGTAATAAATTTATATCTGAAATTATAGATAAAAGGATGCACACAACAAATCATTGCTGATTTTAAATTACATATTGCATATGCATTTTAATAATAATATTATTATTATATTATTGATTTATTATTATTAACTAATTTCATTGATATATACCTATAATTAAGTTTATATATTACTACATTTACTTTATCTGCAGTAAACATATATTACAGTATTGTGTGTTTCTGTTACTTTTCAAAGTTAAAATAAAATTAAGTAATATTTTATACAAAATATAAAACATATAATGTTTGGTTCGTTTATGACTGCATTCATGTTTGAAATGTTTATTAGATTAATGTCTGATATTGTTTTTTTGTATTTAATGTTTGATTGATTGTCAAATAAAAAAATAAAATTTTAAATTTGTAGTGTAATATAGATCGGATGTAAATTTAATATTAATGTCATAGTAATGATAAACCTGAGCTCACAGTTAGCACTGGTAAGTGATTTGCTTATGGGGTTACTGTTTGACTACAAATGTCATGTTTGTGTCAAAAAAGACAAAATAGCTTTAATGTAATACACAGACAGACACAGAAAAGGGAGACTGATTTGAGAGTAAAGCGATCCACAAAACCATTTACTTGTTTGCATCACTGCTATACTCCAGTGCTATACACCAGAGCTATACACCGGGGTTTAGTCCATATCAATCAATTGAGAACTAACAGTATGTCACATAACTGGCACAACAATAGCACAATTGCATCCCCTCTCACATCATAGCCATCACTAGCTATGACTGTCCTCTGTTTAATAGTGGCGTTCATCTGAATCCTTGTCCAAACACTGGACCACTTGTCCAGTCAGTCATTATTGATGTCTCTGTGATGATAGCATTACTCAACACAATGACAAAAGATCTCACTTTTTTAAACTCAATTAACTCAATAAACAGTACTTTTCCTAAATGTTATAATGAAATCAACTAAATGTTATGACAAATGTGTCCAAACTTTACATTTATGACAAGTTTTTGATTGTTATAGTAATTTAACTCAAATTATATGATTGAATACAAGATAAGCTTATAATACAAGAGAATATATGTCAATGTTTTATAGTATGATTGCAACAGATGGTCATTCAATTGAATAATACTCTGGTATCTGAATCTTGAAGTTAACAGTAAAAGTTAAATAACTTATTAAAAGTCATTTCTAAGGTATCATAGATATAGAGCTTATCTTTTATTGATTGAATGTTTCAATAGTTATCGTCTCATTTGTAGAAATAGCACTTGTATTGCAAGTTACAGTCGTTTCTAGCATTTCAAGGGAGCGATAAAAGTTGTGTGAATTACAGTAATAAAAGCGTATAATAAATATTAATTTGTAATATAAGTGCACTTTTTTCCAGTTTATTTTCTAGCAATAGTAATGCAATACTTAATTTATTGAGCAATTTATTATTACCAGTGCTTGTAATTCAAGCATAAGTGCAAAACAATAAAAGCAACTCTTAGTTATTGCATATACTCTATAGTACTCTATGCTATGTCTCTGGGCTTTCATCAGTCGACTCAACCCAAACTCATAACTGAATCTCTCTCTCTCTCTCTCTCTCTCTCTCTCTCTCTCTCTCTCTCTCTCTCTCTCTCTCTCTCTCTCACTGAATGGCATCCCTGTGTTGTGAGGCAACAAAACAATAATAATATTGAACTAATTGCTATTTTTCACAAATCAATCTATTATATTATATTATATTATATATCATATAACTTATAGACTCTTATAATTATTATTACAAGCCTTGTGAACATAAACTTATTGAATAGAGTGTATTAATAGCATCGATAGTATCTTCTGAATAATTGTCTGACAATAGTCATCTCACACCCAATTAATAGCTCAATCTATCACATTATCACATCAGACCAACCATTTCACAACATTCCCTTCCCATAGCACTCCAACACTGTAAGAATGCCCTTCCCTTCCCTACATCCAAACAAACGGCACAAACAATAAATAGTTACAAATAGTTAAAATGTTTGTAAAAACAGAGTTATTGAAGCAAATTATATGTTATTCAATGTTCAACTATTTCTTGCTTTAAGCTACAAAAATATTTAAGAAATTAATGGATCAAACAGTGATACTCGAGACTGCTTGACGCTCACACATACACCCAACCAATACACCCAACCAATACACCTACCATTACTTAAACTATACTCTACATAACATACCATACCTGAAATGCTAACCTATGACCTGTTATACCCCAGCACTTCATGAATTTGTCGTATGCTTTAAAAGCATAAACTAAAACATAAATAATATTAAATCGATATAAGTTGTAAATCCATGTAAACTAA